ACTGGAAGGCTGCATTTCCCACTCCCCTTCACCCATTCTGCCCATCTCCCACCTCCTCCTGGCTGACAACCATCAGTTTGTTCTCTGTATTTATAGGTCTAATTCTACTTTTTGTTTTGTTTCCCTTTGTTTTGTTTCTTAGATTCCACATATAAAATGAAATCATATGGTATTTGTCTTCCTCTGTCTGACTTATTTCACTTAGAATAATACCCTCTAGGTGGGTATTGATGTTGCAAATGGCAAGATCTCATCTGTTTTCATGGCTGAGTAATAGTCTGTATATACACCACACCTTCTTTATCCATTCATCTATGGATAGACACTTGGGGTGCTTCCATAGCTTGGATATTGTAAATAATGCTGCAATAAACATAGAGGTACATATATCTTTCCAAATTAGTGTTTTCATTTTCTTGGGGAATTTACCTATAGTGGAATTATTGGATCATATGGTGTTTCTATTTTTAATTTCAATAATCATCAGGGAAATGCAAATCAAAACCACAATAAGATATCACCTTACACCTGTCAGAATGGTGTAAGACAGGGCAACTGGGTGGCTCAGTTGGTTAGGCGACTGCCATCAACTCAAGTCATGATCCTAGAGTCCTGAGATCGAGTCCCGCATCGGGCTCCCTGCTTAGCGGGGAGTCTGCTTCTTCCTCTGACCCTCCCCCCTCTCATGCTCTCTCTTTCTCTCTCTCTCTCTCAAATAAATATATAAAAATCTTAAAAAAAAATGGTGTAAGACAAGAAATAAATGTTGGCAAGGATGTAGAGAAAAAGGAACCCTCATGCATTGTTGGTAGGAATGCAAACTGGTACAACCACTCTGGAAAACAGTATGGAGGTTTCTCAAAAAATCAAAAATAGAATTCATAAATGTTTTCTGAACTTAAAGGATTGAAACTGAATTCTTGCTATGATTATTATGATACTACTCTCGGCTGGAGAAAATTGTCTTTTTATTGTTTTGCCTTTTCAAATTCTAGCTGCCTGCTCTTCTACTCTAATCTCTTTGAAGTTTTGTCCTATTATTCTGTCTACACTGATATTTCTCTCTCTCTTTCTCTCTATTTTGAGCAGGTGGACTCCCAGGACACTTTTTTTTTCTTTGATTACTCTATAATACTTTATATTTTTAACTCTTACATAATTTAGATATATCTTTTCTTCAATCTAACAAGAGATGAATGGATGGGACATAACTGCAAATTAAATAGTTATGCAATGAACTAAAAGAATACAAAAATCAAACAGCAAAATTATAAACATTAAACAGAATTTGAGATAAGATTTCTTCAGAGAGAAGAGTTTTTTACAATGTACTTCTCATGTACTGTAGAAATGTGTGATTATGTGACTCACATGTTATATTTTACTAGCATCTGTTTATGTTTTGGTTCCAGTGACTTTACTAAAACTACAGAAAAATGTGACATGCAAATGATTTCTATGATAAATGTAGAAAAAATCCTATTTAATATTCATAAAAATAATTATACTTTCTCTAAAAGTTTTCAGAATTGACCTACTAATTTTGTTAAGATAAAATCTTTACAAAAGTAGTGCCATTTTCTAAAGGTTTCTTTTCTTTTTTTTACCAAACATTAAAATATCTTTTGATAGTGTGAGTTGAATTTTTCTAGTATTAGAAAAGTCTAGGGTCAATTGCTTTTAAATCACTTAAATAATTCCAATGAGAGAAAATCTTTTAATAAAACTATCCCCTCCATTTCCACTAACTTTGCTACTTTTCTATTTTTCTTTTGTCTGAAATATGTGAATCTGAAATGAACTCGATCACAGTTTAGTTGGTTTTGGACTTGTTAGGACATTTGTATTATATATTTTTAAATGTCTTGAATATATATGCCTTCCAAAGCTCTGTTTCCAAAAATGCACTCTCTTCCTTAGACTCACATGCACTAGTTCCCAAAATTTCAACATGATGCTCCCAAAGGGGGGCAGAGTTTGCTTGAGACTCAGTGCTCAAATGTCACTTCTTTATCCTCATTAAGCAGTTACTACTCTGGGCATACTGCTGCCCATGTAAGACTCTGTGTTAGGGAAACTCCAGGGGTATATAGTTATAAGCTATGGTTCCTGTTCCATAGAGCAGGAAAAAAGTGAAATGGTGATTTGTAGTCCAGGTAAAAAGTGCTGCAGGAGTTCCATGGAGGAAGTGATTACATGGTTTTTATGAGGGGGAATGGGAATGGTGCTCAGTGGTAGGGTCTAGATGAGCAGAGCGGGAGGAGACACATCTGGGGAGAAAAATAAGCTTACAGACATCCTGGAATAAGTGTGCTGCGGTCAAGAGCCAAACAACAAGCCCTTTGGTTTGGGGTAAAGCTAGAGCATAGGAGACACGTGAGAAAAACACAGCCAGGGCCAGATCGTGGAGGCATTGAGCACACACTCTTGGAGTCTGGACTTTATTCTTGGACAATGAGTCACTTTGGCTGAGAAGAGGCATGTACAACATTGCATTTCAGATTGGAAGTTTATGAGGCTGAGCCGCATAGAGTGTATGGGACAAGGCGACATCTGGAAGCAGAAGGTTCCACAGGAGGTTATTTTTCAATAGTATAGAGGAGAGTCAGAACTGAATAGAAGTAGAGAAATGAGAAGGAAGGATTAGGCTACAAGAGACATAGCAAAAGAGAAATCCACTAGCCTGGCTGACTGACTCAGTACTGGGGGAGAGAGAAAAAGAGTTAAGGGCCCTACTTCTCAGGCCTCTTTTGGACTCTTCCTCCTATTAGACATCAATTAATTTGGCTTTTGAGGACTGACATCTCCTTGCTTTTCTGTGGACTCACCCCCAGTCATTTCACTGATGGGTGCGATCCAGTTCTTGCAATCCCTTCGCTCAAGAATCTGGAATTAGGCCTGACTACTAGAGAGTGGTCTCTTTCTGAGGTGTTGGCTGTGTCCATTTTCTTCCATGCGAACTGGGAAGCTCGAAATGCTGCTTTACAGTAAGAGAAGAAAAGGAAACAGAAGTTAAAAAAAAAAGATGAGAGATGGAGAATAAAAGCTAGGTCTGGGTTCCCTGGTGCACTTTATTCTGTGCTTTCATGTGTCCCTAAAAAATAACTGCATCCCTCCTCTTTAATTCTGTAGGACATCCTTATATTGCAGTAATACATTCCCTCCTTTGATTAAGCTAGCTTGGCAGGGTTATTGTTACTTGCAGCCAAAATGATCCAAACTGATATATTCCTCAGCATGAACTCTCCATTTTCAGTCACTCGGTGCTCTGGCTACTCTCTGAACAGTTGAGCACTTTGCTAACTCCACATGTTCATGCCACTTCCTTCATCTAGAATGCCTTCCCCTTCCCAATCCTACTGACTCTGCCTATATAAATCCCGACTACCCTTCCTTTCTTCTAGCCCTCTCTACTAAGTACTTTTTGAGTGAGTCCATAATACCATAAATTGTAATGTTACATTTTCCCCCTCCGAGTCCCTGATTTTAGTGACCTTATTGGAACAATAATTAAAACGATGTAAAAGAGGGTAGAAGGTGATGGATAGTGCACAAAATCAGAAAATTTATGCTCTCACATATACAAATTAAAAAAAAAATCCAAAAGATGATGATCTGCTTGGCTACTAAAACCTTTGACTCTACGATGGGTTCAAAGAGGTACAGTAGGCCATTTGGCCAAAGCAGATATTTTACATAAGGAAGTGTATCATTTAGGAGTATTAGATGAAAGAAGATAAAAACAGCCTCTAAACAAGTAATGCATCATGCATTATTGCATTAGTGCATTTGATTTTTATGAATATCCAGAAGAGGTCCTATATCAAGTAAGAGACAAATATGGAACCTACCATGCTTTCTTCCTTTCTCCACTATGCTAAACTAGCCCACAGAAAATAAAAAAGAAATACATCAATTTTTAGATGACACATTCAATTTTATGTAATTTTTAAAAATATAACATATTTTAAATTGTTATCCACTGAAATAGCAATATACTCTAGGAACCATCTTGAACCTAATGCCTGGGCTATATTATATAGCAAAAAACTAAATCAAAACAAAACAAAAACCAAACTGTTATTCTCTTTTAAGATACTACAGAATATCACTTATAAAGGCCTTTCTTTCCTCTAGAAATGAGAACACCAATCTGCTATCTTGTGAAATCTCACATAAATTTGGAACACAATGGTGTTTACCTTCCCTTCAGCAACTGTGACCTTTGTTCTGGTAACTTATAATGCCTCAAAGGGGAAAACTCCAAATTGCCTTCTGAAACCAATAAGAAAACGTCTAGCTGATGAATGTACATTTAATGAGCAAGATAAAGTGCCAAGAAATAGTTAATGTTTCTTTCAGCCTCATACAAAGGAACATTCCTCCATTTTGGGGTCCTAGGACCCCAAAGCATTCACAGCAGATGACACAAGTAGCCCTGGTTAGTGGAATGCTATTGTACAAACAGTCTGTTGCTGAGCAGGGCAGAAATATGTTTACATGAAAATGGAATGATCTTTAGTTAGGAGTTCTGAAAGAAAGTGATAATTTCCATAACCAGAAAAAGCATTTTACATCATTCCATTTCAACTGCTATAAAACCCTGAGTTGCTTTGGCAATTGCTTATCCCTGCTTTGCTGGCTTTATATCATCCTCATCTCCGCAGCTTTTCATTTACTAAATAACAGGGTTTTTGTTGTTATTTTGCCTTGTTTTGAAGCCTTGGCAGAAAACACCACCATTCTGTACGCTTTCTCAGCACCCACCTTGCAATGTTCATACAATGAATTTTTGGTGCTCCTTTTATAAAAGCCCAGTTGGCATATCCTCCCAGTAAAACTGCTGAAACTATGATCAGAGAAGTCCCCATCAATAATAACTGTAAACTATGCCCTTCTCTCGCTTTATGGAGCTCTTCACTGTCCATACACTGTTTGTTATACTGGTAACAAAGCATAGAGTGGCTTTAGTGACAGAAGGGAAATGCAAAAACACTTACCTGCATTACAATAAGGAGGTCAAAGACCAAGATAAAAGAAGCCAGGAATGCTCTGGAAACTTCATCACTGGGCAAAAAACCCCGATTCAGCTTGTCCCAGCTGATCCAGTCAGTTGTAATGACAAGTACAACCACGGAAGTCAGAGTAAAGAGAACCGTCCTGCAAGGAACAAGATGTTCATTAAAGAACATTAGACATAATAATATAGACAGTGAAGACTGCCTGTTACCTGTGCAGCCTTCAATGCCGACCCTTTGCCAAGGCATATTCACCAAAATGAAGATGAACAAAGAAGTAAATTAAGTGCTTTCTTCCAAAAGCAATTTAAAAAAGATATAATAGCATCCACCCCAACATTTTCCCTTAAGAACATGAAGATAATGATTACAGAACAAATAATTAACAACAAAAATATTACAAATAGCCTTGGCTAGTGCAATATGTGGCCCAAAGAGAACACTGGTGTGTAGCTCTCATTACATGTGCATCATTTACTGAGGGTAGTAGACATGCATATGTAAGAGCATAAGGCAGATGGTGAGTGATGAACAAGTCTTTGGATTCTATTATTGTCCTATAAAAGAGAGGGATAGTTAGACCAATCCCATCATCATCCTCATAGCCTGAGGATGAAAGAACCACCTCTACACACCAACTGTGTAGCCATTTCTCCTCATAGGACTTGTGTCATAGATGGCTTGTGGCCTAGTGACCTGTCTAGGCCACACCATATTTGATTACCCATTCCTTGTTGTAAGATACTAGGGGCCTAACCTTATCTTTTATCTTTATAACCCCCATAAAATCTTACATAATTGTATCAGATGGAGTTCAGTGAATGTTTGTGGAAGTTGTAACAATTAAGCTTTCTATAAAAATCAAGAGTCCTTAGTCTTTCTTTTTTATTTTTTTAAGATTTTATTTATTTATTGGATAGAGAGACAGAGCACAAGCAGAGGGAGCAGCAGGCAGAGCGAGAGGGAGAAGCAGGCTCCCTGCTGAGCAGAGAGCCTGACGTGGGGTTAGGTCCCAGGACTTGGGGATCATGACCTGAGCCGACCTGAGCCGAAGGCAGATGCTTAACTGACTGAGCCACCCAGGCACCCCTTAAATTAGTCTTTAATATTGACATTCAAACTAAATCTGAAATGTGGGTGGCAAATTTAATCTGCCAGAGAATTGTCTATAATGTAATTAAGCCTCTGCTTTCAGAGCTATATTGGTATCTGGATATCATTTTGAATTGTAAAAAGGAGTCTACGGCTATACCACCCTGAATGCACCTGATCTCATTTGAATTGAAAAAAGGAAAATAAAAAAGAGTAATTATTTTGAAAATAATCTTAATCGAAAGAAAGAAAAGGAAGAAAAAGGGAAATAAAGAAAAAAAAAAGAAAAGAAAAATGGAAGAAAATATATGGAGGTGAAATAATACCTTAGAAGAACACATACCCGTTTTGGCAATTAACAAACTGTTTTTGCCCTCTGATGTCTGATAATAATTGATACAAAAAAAGAATAATATGGACCATCCTAGACCACCTCTTTTCAGTTGAACAAAGCATAGATTTCTAAACCTAAACACTGGGTTTGCTTTTCACAACTTCTTATTTGTAACAAGTTATACTTTGATAGAATGAATATAATGGACCCCCCCTTAGATTTCCCACCCCCATAAATAGTAAAGATATATTTAAATTTTTTTTGAAAAATAAAAATTTCTAATAAAATTAACTTATGTAAACTATCAAAAGAAATTTCACTCATGATCTCCAAAATATAAATTACAGATTGTCTCTATTACCATTTAGAATACCTTTGATCATTTCCAGAAATTTAAATGGGTTAATTAAGCATGGGAGAAATTCTAAATAACTATTATAATTCAATAGAAAGAAATAGCAAATATTATATGGTCAAACATAAGAATAATGGGATTTTAAACGAATCTCTCTCCAGGTTGTCAATTTGTTCGTATTTTTTGTTTTTTCTCTTAAGCAAGTACAAAGTTTATATATTTCATGAAATGAGATATCCTTGGATATCATATTGGCCTAGTAGTTATCAGTCAGAACAATGCTCCTTTTATCTTCCTTCTCCTCTATCTTTAATGCAACTTTCACCCTTATCAGGATGAGATGCCTTCTCTATCACCAGAATTTCATCCAAGGGCCAGGCATTATGACAGGAGTAAATGCCAAAAAGACATTCCAGTTGGATCTGCCTTTTTTTTTTTTTTAATTCCTGTATAGTTACTATACAGGGTTATATTAGTTTCAGGTGTACATTATAGTGATTCAATAATTCGATACATTATGCAGTGCTCCTCCTGATAAATGTCCTCTTAATCCCCATCACCTATTTCATCCATCCCCCACCCATCTCCCCTCTGGTAACCAACAGTTTGTCCTCTATAGTTTAGAGTCTATTTTTTGGTTTGTCTCTTTTTTATTTTATTTATTTGTTTTGTTTTTAAAATTCCACATGAGTGAAATCATACGGTATTTGTCTTATTCTGATTGACTTATTTCACTTAGCATTATACTCTATATCCATACATGCTGTTTCTAATGGCAAGGTTTCATTTTTTATGACTATGTTCCATTGTGTGTGTGTGTGTGTGTGTGTATCACCTCTTCTTTATCCATTCAGCAATCAGGGGACACTTAGGTTGCTTCCGCAATTTGGCTATTATAAATAATGCTACAATAAACATAGAGATGCACATATCTTTTGGAATTAGTGTTTTTGTATTCTTAGGGTAAATCCCCAGTAATGTAATTACTGGATCATATGGTAATTCTATTTTTAATTTTTTGAGGAAGGTCCATTCTGTTTTCCATGTTCACTGTACCAGTTTTCATTCCCACCAACAGTGAACCAGGGTTCCTTTGTCTCCATATACTCATCAACATTTGTTGTTTCGTGAATTTTTGATTTTAGCCATTCTGACAGGAATGAGGTGATATCCCACTGTGGTTTTGATTTGCATTTCCCTGATGATGAGTGACGTTGGGCATCTCTTCATGTGTCTGTTGGCCATCTGGATGTCTTCTTTGGAGAAATGTCTATTCATTTCTTCTGCCCATTTTTTAATTAGATTATTTGGGGTTTTTTGGTGTTGAATTGTATCAGTTCTTTATATGTTCTGGATACTAACCCTTTATCAGATATGTCATTTGCAAATATCTTCTCCCATTCAATAGGTTGTCTTTTAGTTTTGTTGATTTTCCTTTCTTGTGCAGAAGCTTTTTATTTTCCTTGCCTCAGGAGACATATCTAGAAAAATGTTGCTATAGTCAATGTCAGAGAAGTTACTGCCTGTGCTCTCTTCTGGAATTTTTGTGGTTTCAGGTCTCACATTTAGGCCTTTAATCCATTTTGAGTTTATTTTTGTATATAGTGTAGGAAAGTGGTCCAGTTTCATTCTTTTGCATGTAGCTGTCCAGTTTTCCCAACACCATTTATTGAAGAGACTTTCTTTTTCCCATTGCATATTCTTGCCTCCTTTGTCCAAAATTAATTGACCACATAAACTTGTGTTTATTTCTGGGCTCTCCATTCTGTTCCATTGATTTATGTGTCATTTTTGTGCCAGTACCATACTATTTTGATTACTATAGTGTTGTAGTGTATCTTGATATCTGGGATTGTGATACTCTTTTGTTCTTCTTCTACAAGATTGTTTTGACTATTTGGGGTCTTTTGTGGTTCCATACAAATTTTAGGATTCTTTGTTCTAGTTCTGTGAAAAATTCTGTTACTATTTTGATAGGGATTGCATTAAATCTGTAGATTGCTTTGGGTAATGTGGCCATTTTAACAATATTTGTTTTTACAATCCATGAGCATGGACTATCTAATTTTTGTGTTCTCTTCAATTTCTTTTTTCAGTGTTTTATAGTTTTCAGAGTATAGGTCTTTGACTTCCTTGGTTAAGTTTATTCCTAGGTATTTTATTTTTTTGGTGCAATTATAAATGAGATTTTCTTAATTTCCTTTTTGCCTCTTCACTATTAGTATAAAAAATGGAAAAGACTTCTGTATATTATTTTGTATCCTGTGAGCTTACTGAATTCATTTATCTGTTCTGGTAGTGTTTTGGTGTAGTTATTAGGGTTTTCTACATATAGTATCATGTCATCTGCAAATAGTGAAAGTTTTCCTTTCATTTGCATGATAAATCCTTTTTCTCCCCTCATTTTCAATTTGCATGTGCCTTTAGGTCTGAAGTGTCTTTTGTAGGCAGTTTATGGATAGTTTTTTCTTTTTTATCCATTCCATTACCTATGTCTTTTGTTTAGACCATTTAGGCCATTTACATTCAAAGTAACTATTGATGGGTATGTACTTATTGCCATTTTATTACTTGTTTTATGGGTTTTTTTGTACTTCTCCTCTGTTCCTTTCTTCTCTTGTTTTCTTCTCTCACAGTTTGCTGGCTTTCTTTAGTGATATACTTAGATTCCTTTCTCTTCATTTTTTGCATGTCTATTACTATTGTTTTTTAAAATCTGTGGTTCCATTAGGTTTATATTCAACATCTTATGCATATATCAGCCTATAATAAGTTGAGGGTCACTTAAATTTGAACTCATTCTTTACTCCTCTCCCCTCCATGTTTAGGTATATGGTGTCATACTTTAGATCCTTTTATTTTTGAGTCCCTTGACTGCTTTTTATAGATATACTTAATTTTAATGCTTTTGTACTTCCTACTTTTTTTACTGCAAATTGTGGTCTTTCCTTTCAACTCAAAGAGTTCCCTTTAATATTTCTTGTAGGTCAGATTTGGTGCTCATGAATTCCTTTACCTTTTGTTTGTCTGGGAAATCGTTTATTTCTCCTTCTATTTTGAATGATAGCCTTGCTGGATAGACTGTTCTTGGTTGCAGGTTTTTCTTTCAACACTGACTATATCATGCCACTCTCATCTGTTCTGCAAAGTTTCTGCTGAAAAGTCAGCTGATAGCCTTATGGGGTTTCTTTTGTATGTAACTATTTTCTTTTCTCCTGATGCTTTTAAAATTCTCTCTTTATCACTACGTTTTGTCATTTTAATGACTATTGGTATTGGACCTTCTTGGGTTGATTCTTTTGGGGGCTCTCTGTGACTCCTGGATTTAGATATCTATTTCTGTCCCCAGATTTGGGAAGAT